GGACACAGACTGGTACCGCCAGGTTGCTATAACGATCTCTGTGCTTCTTCTAGGAGAAACCGCTCTCTTCCCCCGGACATATGGAAGAGGTCATCCGCCGCCTAACGGAGCTCTCGGCCCGCCAGCAGCAGTTTACCGAGCGACTGGCAGCCCGGCAGGAATATACTGACCGGGTCGTGGAACAGCTGCAGGCCAGCGTGGCGGGGCGCCTGCCCCTCCCGGAAGCGCCGGTCAAAGCGCACCCATACCTCGTCCGGTTGACCGAGAACGACGACATCGAGGCTTACCTCCACACATTTGAGGTCATCGCGGCCAGGGAGAACTTCCTCTTCCGCATGAATTTCTGTATGACACAATAAAACAGAGGCCCTTCACTTCTATTGAATGATCCATCCTGTGTCACATAATCCCATGTCTGGTGCCAAACCCAGCCAGAGTAACTGTGATCTCACCTCTACCACCAGCAGATCATCAGGGTGTATGTCGTCAGTCTTTTGCTCCACCTGATCAGACAGCTTTGTAATGACCTCCAGCAGCAAACGTCCACGATAGGCCACACCCTCTCCCTACATCAAAAAAAAAAATCAAACACATAGCAACTTCATTTCTAAAATTGTTCAAAATATTAAGCATCGTTAAGGCAATAATCAAACGTAATTTTAATAATTGTCACAGTCTTCAGCGGGTGTGCCCAGGATGGCCACCAGATGACACTGTGTTCTGTGAGCACATGGCTTGTGTTGTGTTTGTTTGTTGCCATGTGCTCTCTCCTGTCTATTGTCTTGCCCCGCCCATCTTGTTACCTCATTATTGTTTAAGTTGCTCCACCTGTGTCTCCCTCGCTAGCCTCCTCATTTGGTTTCCTATTTATTCTCCTGGTGTCTGTAATCCTGTGCTGATCCGTCGCGGTTTTCATTTTGTGTGTTATGTCTGCATGTAGTGCAGTTCCGAGCCCGCCTGTCTGTTTTTCCCCCTCTGGGTTGTTTTAGTTTGTTTTTGTTTCATTTTATTATTAAAAGAAAGAACCATTCATCCTGCACTTGAGTCCTCGCTTCATCTCTCCACACGCACCGTGACAAATAATATGTTTAAATATGTTTATATGTTATATGTAATAAGTTTGTATTCAGTCTTCATATGAAGGAGCATGGGGTATGCTATGCCACTTTCCAAGTTATTCCAAGCTAGATTTGAGGAATTATATATTCCAGACATAATTTCAAATTAAATATGAATATTAATTATATATAAATAAACATACATAATACAAAGGTTTAATATAAAAAAAGTAATCTAGTGAAACCATTTTGATATTTAGAATCATAAAAATATTAGTAAAAATGATTTGCTTATGCAAAAACATACACACACACACATACATACATGTATATATAGAGAAAGTAAATCTCACCTTTCCAAAGTTTAGTACCTCATGTGGGTCTGAGAAGGCCGTGAATTCTCGGGGGCTCCCATACATGTTGACGTAGCAGGGGCCAAATGTCGGAAGAAAGCCTATATTGTCGTCCACTAATTGACATAAAATGGAGAACAGCAAGAATTAGACACACAGTGGTCACCTCCACCTTTAGGAGCAGTAAAATGTATGTACATTTAAATGTATGACCATATTGCTTCTTGAGATAAATTCAGTGGCAAATATATTTCCATTTAGTCATAGAAGACAACTTCTCTAAAGGCCAGCCGAATAAAAGGATAGACAGCAAGTACTACAGCCCAACATAAGGCTAAACCTGACATAGGTGTGATCTACAGGAAGGATAGCACACAGATTTGAGATCAGAGAGACACACATACTGGTGACGTGGAAGGTCCTGGGAGGAAACTCATCTGAGTGCATAGAGAAATAAAAATGTTGACACACAATAAGGATAGGATAAGTGAAAAATAGCTGATGCTATACAACCTGTTACCTGACTCATGCATTAATCACGTCTGCACCAGGCATAGAGTAAGATTTGCACACCAACTCAAACTCACTCACAAAAGATGGTGAAACCAACAACCAACTGCTAATTTACTGAAACCAATGCAATGCAACACTACAATTCTGTCAACCAAGCCACATAAAAAACCTGAACTGTCATGCCTCCTTGGCAATAGCATGAATGCTAAAGTAAAAAAAAAAAAAAGTACTTTGTCATCCTTGCCTCTAATTCAGATTAGGACACACAAGCCAATTTTACATAACATTCCCCAAAAAGCAGTGTTAATTTCATTCTCTAGTTTCAATTCACAGCCAGTGTATTACTAATATGCAAAATCAAGACATCAAATCAGCAAGCAAACAAGGATTAGTGTCACACTGGAACCTGCACATTATTGAACTAATGCAACGTCTTTCAACATTGTAAACTGAAAGAATATTTTTTCTGATACCAAGAAAATAATTTCTGATACCAAAGTTACTTTTACCTATACTAACTAAATAGACAGAGACTACAAATGAATAAAAACACAAATGAATACAAATGGCAATCATTGTGGCACAATGCTTGAGTGAATCGAGGTGTCAAGTTGTGGCTTTAGCCAATGATATGAATTTTGGGAAGGACTGATTTTAATTAGCTTTTGCTCTGAGAATCGATAATATCTACCATTGTTCAGCAGTTATGTTTAATGTTTTTAGTTGTGCAGAAATAATGAACTTCAGCATATCTTCTTTAAATGGTAGAGCAGTGGTTCTCAACCAGGAGGCTGGGGCTCATTAGAGGGCCTCAACAAACTTCCAAAGAGATGTCAAGATTTAAAATAAGCATAAAATAAAACCACTAAAATGTACCCCTTCATCAACAGTGTTTTTCTTTCCTCTTTCAAGAACCAGGGTTTACACTGCCTTAAAAAAAACCTGGATGAAGTAGGCTAATGTTAAAAGTGTGATTTCAAAAAATCATGAAAATGAATTAAATCTTAAAACTCTTATGGACATTTTTTTTACAATGAATATGCATTTTTCTAGTTATGCCATGCTCTAAATTATTTTGTCAGGTAGAAACTGTGAGTAAAAACTATTTTTAAAAATCTGTATCCTTTATCCTTATCCAGTAAATTGACTGGAAATATCATTAAAAATCATTGGTTAAAAAAGTGGGAACACCAAAGAACATTTGTCTCTTAAAACTTCTAGAATCCTGAAATTAATTGTTGTGAACAGTGGGTGACCTTGGAGTCAAAAAGGTTGAGAACCACTGGTATAGAGAGTAAAAAAGCTGTAAAGCAGGACAATGACCTAAGGAGCCCCTTAGATTTGATACTACCATGTAACAACAGAAGTAAACCAACAATTTGCATGCCACAAAGCACAGCCTACCTTCAATTTCTCCTCCAGGGGCTGAGATTTTGGAAATACATAAGTGTGTAGTGCCAATGACATCATTGTGGCTGGCTCGATCCCTGAAAGAATCACAATAGGAAGGCATATAAGATAACACATTTTTGTCACAAATTAAACAATCCATATTAACATATGATGGCTAGTTTAGAATTTGAACTGACCAATCTAAAATGCGTATCCTCATCTTTTCACACATGGATGGGAACTGGAGTGAAAAACAGACTGTTAATAGACCTAATGAAGGACTTGTTATGTAGCTTTGTGAGGTGAGTGCATGTCCTTTACCCTAATAGGCAGAGTGAGGATCTGGTTCCACTGAGGGTTGGCATTTTTCTCCAGAATCTTACTACTGATCTAGAGATATAAAAATATAATATCAGTACCTTTTTAGGAACTTATGAATACCTCATGATTAAACTAATTACGAAATCAGAAGTACCGTTTTTCCTGCAAAGTTGACCTCCACGAATGGATCCACCAGGTTCTTTCGATTAGTTTCGAAACCAAGGAACTGTTTGACACCATCCATAAGAGCATCATCCACTGTCCGAGGAGAAAAGCAGATTAACAGATGAAACAGAAATCACACGTCTACACACAGACGTGTTTGATACTCACTCTGAGGCAGGTCTTCTGCCCTGTACACTCTGAGAGTAAACGTGGCTCCTGTCAAGGTGAGACCAGCTGGTCTCAACAGGTTCCCCTCTATATCCTCCTTTTCTTCTAGACCCTCTTTCTTATCCATCTGACACACAGCATTGGTGTTTTCAAAAGAATGAGAGAAATCTATACAATAAGGTTCGATTCGTTAACATGCTGAATCACGCTCGATCTCTATCTCACTTACCGGAGGTTCATCACCTGCAGCCAGCACAAACATGCTGACCTTTAAATAACCTCTGGCCCCAGCAGAAAGATCATCAGGGTCTGCCAGCAACAACCATTTCCTGAGAATAGCATGTCCTGTTCAGTGGAATAGAAAAAAAGAATGCTAATTATAAATACAGCTTCAATTTTAAAGGCAACGAGCTTAATTGAATTTCAGTCATACTGAAGATTCAAAACAGTGTCCAGGTCCAGAGGTTTGTTTGTTCTGAGACACGATCAAATGGTGTTTTTGAAAAGAGCAATTAATATCACATTATGACTATGTGGTACTTACGGTGTTCACTATACACCATGCCAACATCCAGCTGAAAGACAAAACAATGAAACTAAATTAGCACTATTATTAGCAAAATCTGAAATAACAGACACATGTGCCTTGAAAATGAGAGATCAGAGGGGAAAAAACATGCCTGTAACCAGTAAAGAAAATAAACATAAAGAAATCCTGGAACTCCAGAAGAAGCCACCAAAGAGGAGAAGGATGATTAAGAGGGAAGAAAAATAAGAAATAAGAGCAAATCTACCTTGAATTCTCCAATGACAGAGTCTTTCCGTAGAGACTTGGAGTCAAATACCTTGGAACGGAAATAGAGATGATAACTGAAGGTTTGTGTTAAATGAAAACAACGGCATCAACTACATTTATTAGGACAGTAGCATAACTCACGGTTAAAAATATAGGCTCATCAAAAAGATCTGAAGGTTTCTCATAGAAGTTTAGAAAGAAAGTCTGAAAGTAAAGAATTACATTTACTGAGCATTATCTGAATTCGTTTACATCATTTGTATTCCCCCAGTAACAAAACAGTGGAGAAAAAAATTGTTACCTCATCAAAAAATGGATTATTGCCCTTCTTGATGCACGTTCTCTTTGTCTGTCCTCCAACTGTGACCTTGACAACTGGTTTAATGTTGACACCAGGGAGCTGCCTTCCCTCAATGATGCGCAGCCGTACCTAATATTAACATACTCTGAATTAATGCTTCTAAAAATGTAATCACTGACAATGACATTATCAAACAGGAAATTAAAGCACTTTTTAAACTTTTCTTTGGATATACTTAACATCCATTGTCCATCTATATAAACATTACTATTATTGTTCTTATTATTATCATACTTAATATAAATTATCAAGGTCATGTCATCTCCATGTTGGTATCTGCCTAATTCGGCAAGCCTCTACCAAATGACAAATTAATTTATACCAAGAGTCTAAATAGATGCACAGCCTTTAACATCAATAATAAAAGATAGAGGAAGCATTTTCTCCTTCCTTCTAAAGGTATTTATTTTTTCCGTTTAACTCTAGATTGTTTTGTTTGTTAATTTAGTATTTTTCTCAACGAATCTTTCAGCTCAGATGAGAACCAATGGCTTAAATATGCTTTTTGCTATTCTTGGATCTATTCTAGAAAACAATGCTCAGATGTTTGTTTTATTAACACATAGAACACATTGTCTTGCCTAGAGCAAATAAACGAGTTTAAAGCCAAAATAAATTTTTGGCTTACTACACCTACTTTGTATTACCACAAGGTGGCACTATTTTTAAAGCAGAAGCATAGAATGAAAATGATAGTACATTTAAATTGAGTGGACAGGGTTTGACATTTAATACAGATAAATATAATTAGGGAGTCCATTCTGTACGGATCAATAAGAAACCACTATTAATTTGCTTATTACAATTTTTCAAGCCATTTTTGTTGTAGCACAATTACAGAAATACACAAAAAAAAAAAAGAGTGAGGAAATAAGGTGGCATATATACGACAAAGCAAATTGTGGATTAATTCACACACATACATACCTGGAGGTCCTGGGGTTTGTCAGACAGGGGATTTTTGTTGCTGTGGCGTTTCTTTTTCTTAAGGCCATGGTTAAAGTTCGGTGGGGCCTTTTTGGGTGGTGCTGTAGGAGCCCCGGTGTCCTGACCCAGGGGCCCTGGCACAGGTTCGGGCTCCTCCACCACCTCCATCATCAGCATGCTCTCAGTGTCCTCCTCGCCCATAGTGTCCAATGAGAAAACTACATATACACAAGTTAAAAACAACTGTCATGTCACACTGATGCAGCCCTGATTGTAATCAAATGTAAGCATCCTTTAACAAGGAACTTACAGTACATGTGTGTATGAAGGGAAGCTATATTCAATGTTAGCAGACTGACCTGTAACTGTGTCCAGCTCCACTGGCGTGTGCTGGGCTTCTGGCTGTGGAGGAGGCTGGAAGATGGGAGCCATGCCTGGAGGAGGGATGTAAGAAACCTGCAGGGTTACTGTGGCCTGAAAGAGAGAACACAGATAGAAGATCTGAAATGATGCAACAACAATGTAAAAATATGCAACAAAAATCTACTTCCAGAAAAAAACTCACAGTTGCACAGTTGATTTCAAAATTGATAATAAAGAGAAATGTTTCTTGAGCAGCAAATCAGCATATTAGAATGATTTCTGAAGGATCATGTGACACTGAAGACTGATGGCATTACAGTAATAATTAAATTATATTTCAAAATAATACCGTTTACTGTATATTTGATCTGTATTTTGTATTTTTACCTTACTTAACTCTGAAGATGTTAAGCACCTAATCAGGCTTTTTCTTTCTGTTGCAAGTATACCTGTTTTTTTACCCTTTTTCCCCCTTTGTAGAGTTTTGTATTTGTGTAACATTGCTAAATTAAATGTGAAATTGCTTTAAAGATACTTGATTTATTTTGAAATTACCATCAAAGTTCAGAGTGAAGAGCTTTTTTGGGAAGGGTGGGAAAGAAAAGTTGCATGCTGGAGTTGTTTTTGAGATTAGACCGGCGTCAGGGTGATACCTTATAATGTACTTTCCGGAAATTATTTCCAGAAATCAGCTATTTCAAGAGCAGATGGATGCAAAGGAGCTAAGAAAACCAACTCCACCTTTCCCTCTCCATCACCCAACGTCAACCTACACGCATACATACCCACACACAATGCCAGGAAGTGGCACTCTGTTGTCGTGTAAGACATAGCCTTGTAGTATTTCTTCAAAATGTCTTTCTTAAATCACATGTGGGACAAGGATGACGTGAATTTATGATGGAAAATATTCTTTTCAGTACAGATACTGGGGAAGTACAGACTGTAGTAGACATGAAGGTGGGATGTTGCCACCAACAGTGAGTGTGAAAGTAAATTTGATAGACGTTTAAGTCAGTGAAAACAGTGAGAAACAGATCAAACGCACCCCTGTGCTGTTTCTTTTGGTGTCTACCAGGGACACAGTGAAAGTAGCAGCCAGGTTGGGAGAGTTGAGCACATCTCGAAGAGCGACCCGACACTCCCCCAGAAACCTGTAAAGATACACAAAAGGCTATTTAACAACTGTCATGCTATTTAAAGATGAGGATTAATGCCAAGAAATAAAAATACACACAGACATGCTGTTACTAAGCTAAACAATTGTGACACATGACTATGCATCTGACCCTGAATGACAGATTTTTCACTGTCTGGCAAGCTTTTCTAAAAATTGCTGTTCTTCTGTTTCATTCTTAGGCTCAGATAAGGTTTGAAAGGAAAGAGGAGACATGGCAAACCACCCTTGCTCACTTCCTGTGGGCATTCCCCTCTTCCTTCCTTTCTTTCCCTCCTTTCACATTACTTTATTCCTTTATTATACTGATAATATTTCACCCAATATTCAAGTGTGTTAAGCTAATATAGCATTTACTGACTCTATGTTCATCTCTGTTATTTATTTGTGTGTTTATTCGACTAGTAAACACACAAAACATAAATAAGAAGATAACGCAATGTTTTGGCATGAAGATTATTGGTACTGATGCAAATGTTATGATTTAGTCCATTAAAACATCAGTTTTTGTAAAATAAATGGTTCACTACAGAAATTCAGACTTCACTACGCTTAAATGTGACAACATGTTTTTGAAACACAATGAGAACAAGACATTTTAACATATTTTTTTGGTTCCAGTTTTTAAAGGCAACAATAGCTTGGAAACCATAGCAAAAGCATTGCATGCTGGGACATAACCTGCTGTTCATAAGTTTGGCGTCAGTAAGATTTAAAAAAAAAAAAGAAATCAATACTTTTATTAACAAAGATGCTTTAAATGGATCAAAAGTGATAGTTAACACATTTATAATGTGACAAAAGATTTCCATTTCAAATAAATGCTGTTCTACAGAATGTTCTTTTAATCAAAGAAACCGGTTTCCACCAACATATTAAGCAGCAAAACTGTTTTCAACATTGATAATATTAAGAAAAAATTCTTGAGCACCAAATTAGCATATTATAATAATTTCTGAACGATCATGTGACACTGAAGACTGTAACGGCTGCTTAATATTCAGCTTTGCCAACATAGGAATAAATTACAATTCAAATTACATTAAAATAGAATTCATTTATTTTAAATAAATCAATTTATCAATTAAACGCAGCCTTGATGAGCAAGAACATTTAAAAAAAAAACTTACCAATCCCAAACTTGTAGGTAGACACTTATTATACGAGCATGTATGACTTTCTATTGCTTAGAAACGAAAAATGTAAATGTGTCAGAGTGGGATGCTGTATTGAAGCAATTTAATATAAATACTAATGTGATAAAAATATTAATGTGATAATGGATTTTTAAAAACTATTTGAATTTAAAAACTTTAAATTAAAATTAAGTTGACATTTACTACTGTTATAGGTGAACAAAATTACCTAAAAGCACATTTAGTGTGTTCTGTATATGTTCTATCATTTCTTGGAGATTAGATAAATCTCCAAGATAGGAACCACTATTGGTCATAATGAGAATATGGGAACGCACAGCAAATTAAGTGGATGTTTTAAACAATGGTGCATTCCATAAATTCTACAGCTCTCCCAACTGAATTGTTGAGCAATTGTTTCATGTCGGCAGAGGAGCTGCTTTTGCATAATATTCTGAGGGACACATGCACTCTTATGAACAGAAAGAGAAACTGAGATGAGAATTACAAAATAGAGAAAAAGGCCTTACCTATTTCTGCCCATTTTTTCATGGTCCTTGACCACAACATGAAGCTCTGCTCCAGAATCTAAAGGAACACCCTTCAAGTCCCACTCAAAACCCTGGGAGAAAGAAAAGAGAATGATGAAACTGAATCATGTATTGGCAAAACGTTTATACATTTCATTATAGTAACAGTAGTGGTTAATTAATATTTGTGAGTTAGATGTAAGAAGCAATTAACCAACCTCATTCCAGACAGGATTGACATTATTTTTGATGACTTTGGTCTTCTTTTTTGTCCCTACAAGAAAAGAGAGAATACAGTAATTACAATTTAAAATAATTGTTTTCTATTTTAATATATTTATATGTAATTTATTCATGTGATGCAGTCTTATATTTTTATAAATTATATTTAATAATTATTATGCATGGTTTCTCAGGCAAAAAAAAAACAAAAAAACAACAGAATACCTGGTTGACACAGAGGAGCCCTTCCTATCCATCTCACATGAATTATGGGCCCCTAAAAGCTTTGAATGTAAAGCAAACAGGAGCCCCACATTGAACCAAACTGTGATGACATAGCATCTCTTAGAAACGCAGAGCAGATCAGTAGCACACTTTGACACACACATATTCCAAGTGCAACAGGACACCCATAAAAATACACAAGAGAGAGAGACTGCAACTGCTTTTCCAATAATAGCCCGCTTGATGGAATGTGGACAGTAGGAAGACTGACAAAAAGACAGTGAGAGAAGAGAATGAATGTGACTGTGCAGAAAAGAAAATGGCAATCTAGCAAACTCTCTATAGCATATTCTACATAAAAAAACTCCTTACTCGTTCACCCTGGTCTGGCCCTTACCTTCATAAGTGACAGTGCAGTAGGCATCGCTAATGTCCTCATCATGCGTCAGCACATTCTGGGCGCACAGAATAAACACACGCAGCATGGGTGGACAGTGGTTATGGCAGAATCCGCAGCTAGTAACACTTGTAAGTCGCAATACAGGGCACTGTGGTCCCAGACAGAGATGGACCACTAGGGGTGTCTCCGGATCCCAAATCAGTCCCAAAGAATCAGTCTGGTTTTCACTCCAAGAACAGAAAATGAAAAGAGATAACAGAAAGAAGAGAGGTAGAGAGAAAAAGAGAAAAGCTCTGCCACAGACTGCGCATAGGACAGTAGTCTGATGGGACTGTAGCTGGTGTGGTTGCTGCCCCACTTCCTGGCAGCCTGCACACACTCACACACAGCTGGCTCTAAAGCCCCTGACTCATATACACGCTGCCCTTTCAATCACAGACTGCAGCTCCTCTTAAAGGGACAGGAGACTTTTGGTCAGCACCTGTTAAAGCAACCGTGACTCACAAGTTTTGGGAAGTTCACTCCTGCTGCTGTCTACGTCTCTGACAAAACAGTAAGGAAGATTTAAGAACAACTGGCATTGTACAACACTGTACAGATGTATGGAAATTGGAAAAGGTTTAGACCAGAGACTGGGATGAGAGACCCTTTCCCATGATACTTCTAAGAATAAGATTCAAACCTAAAATGATCAAATAAAACAAAACCATCCTCATAATTTACATAGTCTACTTTATGACTTTATTAAGAATGTGTGGCTCCAATTTAAACAATTGAATTTGAGTATATTAACATTCCTCATTGTGAATCCATTATTTCTAAAACAATGAAACATTGATTGAGCATTCATTTTTTTCAGGTTTTACCGATAGTAAACTAGTAACTGATGATTCTGCCATGATTATCGTCCTGCAATTCTGGAACATGAGGACACCTCAAAATACATAGCACTGATGGGCATTTAAATTAATTATTTTTTCCTGTCTTGTTTTGTCATGATCTCATTATATCTGCAAATTTTGTTTCTAGATTAACATTGATTCCACATTAGAATGTAAACATAGAGGACAATTTCAGTAAATGGAAATTTGCACACACCTTTAAAGAAACGAAACTTAACTGGGGTGGGGCAATTTAGCCTAAACAGTCAAGAGCTACTACTGTACAGTAACTCCTCCTACATCCTGCATCTGTCATAAACGCCAACAAGGTTTAAAAGTCTTTTTATTTATTTAAGCTTCACATTTTTTTTTCCTTTAAGGAGTCCTTTTATTTGAATGCACTTAGAATGAAACATAGTTTAACACCAAGCATGGTTATCCTGTCATATTGTCTAATGATGTTCACAAAATGACAACTATAACAATAAAAGAAAAAAAAAACATTACTGGTCCAGTCTCAAACCATTCTCAAAGAGCGACAACCTTAGCCTTATTATTAGAATAACAAAACTTGCCAAAAGAAAAAGGTGTGCCATCAGTATTATGCAATACTTTATAGTGAAGTGAAACTGAAACCTATTTAACCTCACAATAAAACCTGGTCTGATCTTCTTTGTACTGTATTTTTCTCCTGAGCCAGAGACAACACTAACAGACAGGTGAGATTTCATAGACTAAAAATGTAAAGCAATGTACAGTAAAGCAATTAACTTAAGAACGATACTTAAAAAGACTAGACTATATAAATCTTGTATAGAACAGTCACAGCACCACGCTATAAAATATAGACTAATATAATTTCGACCTTTGATCACTTCTACGCAGAGCTTCATGGTGTCCCTGTTTCTCCACTTACAGTCATGACTTCCTTCAGTTCATCACTCTCTGGTGAGCTGCTCCAGTGCCATATATGTCTGGAGGTGCTCACTGACCCAGTCACCACTTCATGTGGACACAACTTCTGCAATGTTTGTATTGAGGCATGCTGGGAGACTGGACAGCTCTATCGTTGCCCTCTCTGTAAGGAAGGATTTGATAGTAAGCCAGAATTGAAAATAAATGTAGCATTTCAAAAGGTTGTTGACCGTTACAAGGTGCATCAACAGCCAAAGAAACTCCAACACCAAACAAAAACCTTTCCTCAAATTTTATGTGATGTCTGCTCTGAAAACAAGCTAAGGGCAGTAAAGTCTTGTTTGCAGTGTGTAACATCTTTCTGTGAGACTCACCTGACCAATCACAAAACTGCACCAAGGCTCGTAAGGCACAAACTGATCGACCCCGTGGACAACCTGGGAGATTATATCTGCGAGAAACATGATAAACCACTGGAGATGTTCTGCAGAGACGATCAGACCTGTCTGTGTCTGTTTTGCACTGAAACAGAACATAAGACTCACAACGCTGTTCCTATTGAAGAAGAAAGTGGACACAAGAGGGTAAGACAAAATATATGAGCGATTAGAAGATATTTTAGTATGTCTATTCAATTATACTTAACCGAACTGTTCACACAAAATGAATTTACTTATCTCCTAACAACTTCTGTGAAACAAAGAGCAGCTCTTTCTCATTCCACAAAAGTCAATATGTCCATATGACTCACATTTTAGAATTCTTTCTAAAGCAATTCAATAGCTTGTGAGACAAACAGATCACAATTTAAGCTACAGGCCGATATTTTTTACTGACACAAAGCACTAAAATAAACTACAAAAACTGCACATTAAAGCTACAGGTAAAAACATCAGTTAATAATTTACATTTTGGCTTTTTCTTTACAAAATGATACACACGTACACAGCTGCACAAGTGCAGGTGTAAATGATGAACTTTTTTAAGGTTGGGGTGATCTATTCCTTTAAAATTTTCATTTTACTGTAATTTTGAAAAACATCTAAAAACAACTAGAAATTGAATTGCCAACATATGATTTCAAGAAAGTATTGTAAAGTAAATTGAATTGATGAAATCTAACAAACTCACTGCAAACAATACTTTCCTACTTTCCTATTGTAAGAGAACTGTTCTATGCGTGTTTACACTTGATGCATTTACTTTAAAAAAAATATTGTTTCTGTCCTCAGATTCAACTGGAAAAGACACAGGCAGAAATAAAGGTGATGATCCAGGACAGATGTAATAAGATTAAGGAGATAAAAAACTTAGCAAAGTCCAACAAGGTGTGTTGTTAGTGAAAAATCAACAGATTTTTTAAAACAACTATCTACTGTATAGAGGTGGTGGAAAGAATGGTTTGGAATCTGATTTGAATTCAGTGTCTATTATTCTTCTCAATATAACTAGAGCACCAATGAGAGAAATAAAGCAAATAAAGTTCAGCTGTTTACTGATTTGATCCACTTCATTGAGAGATGTCAGTCTGAGCTGCTGGAGGTGATGGAGCAGAAGCAGACAGCAGCAGAAACACAGGCTGAAGAGATGATTAAAGAGCTGGAGCAAGAAATCACTGAACTAGAGAGGAGAAACACTGAGCTGGAGCAGCTCTCACACACTGAGGATCACCTGCACCTCCTACAGGTCAGTGTCTCTCTTACTGCTCACATCACAGGGCAACACTCCTGACAACACTTATGAAGCATTTCTCTGCTCTCCTGCATTGCACCAGGTCTACTCATCTGTGTGCAGCCCCCCAGATGTCAAGAGCTGGACAAACATCAACATTAACACTGATCTACTCAACACAGACATTCTGGATAAAGCTCTTACTTGCCTCAAGGAAAAAGTCAACAAGGAACTGAAAAAAATCCATGATATCAGTAAGCATTATAGAAGTGAATTTATATGAACTTAAGAATACTTTTCTAGGCAAAAGGGGCAAGTTTGTTTAGAACATTGTATCCACAACAATAATTTAAAGGGATAGTTCTCTCAAAACAAATATTCTGTCATCATATACTCACACTCACGTTGTTTCAAACCTGTATCAATTACTTTCTTCTGTTAAACACAAACAAAGATATTTTTAATGAAAATTGGTAACCAAACAGTTGCTGGTAGCCATTGACTTTAATAGTACTATTTCTTTATACTATGGAAGTCAATGGATACCAGCATCTCTTTGCTTTATTTACCCGAGAACTGAGGTTATATGCACAGTGTTTAGATTCTGTCTGCCAGCAAAATTTGTGCAAGTTGCAGTTGTCTAATAATATTTTCTGCTCAGTTATTGATCTAGTGATTAAATAAGGCTTGCATCAGTCTTGATTTATTACTGTATATTTAAACATTTTCTTTTACAGCTCAACCTTCTGTTGTTCACGGAATCAACTTCAATCCCCCAACATCACAACCTTCAACCAATAGGATATTTGAATTTGGCAGCACTAACACAGATTCTGCTCCCTTCCATCATTCACTGCTACCTAAAAGTTCTTCAGCTATGGAGAAAATAGATACTTTGAGAACACAGAAGGGCATCCTGACAGAGATTTCAAATATTAAAACAAGCAATGTTCAGACAGAGGGCAAAATCTACTTTACTCTGGGTAAAACAGACTTCGGCACTCGCTCAATGAAGAAAGCAGAAAATATTAATACGCAAGTGAAGGTCTCATGGTTCGGTCTGAGTCTAAATACAATACAGCAACTTTACGCAGGTAAGATAAATATGACTAATATTAACATAAGCTTAAGGGCTGCTTCTAATGCATTCATCCCTTTACCTGTGTTTTTCTTGAAGTGGATGTGATTTTGGATCCTAACACAGCTCATCCTAAACTCATCCTGTCTAAAGATGGGAAACAAGTGAGTCATGGTGGATCCTGGAGAGATGTTCCCAATAACCCTGAGAGATTTGACTCGTCTGCTTGTGTCCTGGGAAAGGATGGCTTTTCCTGTGGGAGGTTTTACTTTGTGGTCCAAGTCGGTGATAAGACTGAATGGGATTTAGGTATGGCTCGAGAATCCATTGAGAGAAAGGGGAAAATAACAGTGTGCCCAGAGAAAGGATTTTGGTGTATTTGGCTAAGAAATGGAGGTGAATATGTGGCTAATGAATATTGTCCTGTTCCTCTTTCCCTAAAAGACAAGCCCCAGAAGGTGGGGGTGTTTGTAGATTATGAGGAGGGTCTGGTCTCCTTCTACAACGTGGAGACCAAGGCTCTTATCTACTCCTTCACTGGTCAGTCTTTCACTGAGAAAATCTTTCCATTTTTCAGCCCTTGCAACAAACGAGGAGATGTGAACACAAAGCCTCTGATTATCCATACTGCCTAATTACAATGCAGTCTATCTTCCTTTAAATAAATAGTTAATACAACAACATATGTGGTCACAGTAGCTGGTTAAGAGTTTTTGTTGTCGTGTGTTTGTTTATTACCGGCAACCATGAAATATTAATTTCATGCCTGGCTAGGTAAATGTGAAGTTCAGTGAAGTACTTCTTCACTCTTGTTTCTTGCTTCA